TTAGAGTGCTGCTAAACTAAGTTGTGTTAAATTTTAATGAATGCCTAAAAATGCTCAGGGTTCTGATTTCAGAGTATATTTTTATATATTTTTAGATGAAAACCTACTGTATACCAGTGGTTGCTCTTATATTCAGCTGTCCCTCCATGTATCAAACACTTCTCTGCACAAGTCAACAAAAACCCACTTGTAGCTTTCTTTTTAAATTAAAGCTCTTTATAAAATGAAACTTTTAAAAAAAATTCTCAACCACAGAACAAGGATGTACTGTTTAAACTGTGGTGGTGGTGAAATCTGAAGCTCCAAATAAGACTGTGTGAATTAGACATGAGATCAAGGAGGGAGTGAGGAAATGGAGGGAATTCAATACTCAGCGTTACATCAGCGCCATGATCAGATTAACAAACAGACCCATGTCTTTTTTTTTTGTATTTTTCTTAGCTCGTCTCTCGTTGACCTTCTGTCTTGTTTCTTTCTGTCAGTTTGTCTGTCGGTCTGGTCGACCATCTGTCCATTCACTGTAACCAGAGATGATCTAAGTTCAACAGATCTGTTCCACCTGGTCACCTGCTCCGTACACAGAGCCGACTACTGACCGTAGTTGTACTGTTCTTAGCTGTCGACTGGTGTAAACAAACCAGTTTGGCCTTGCCAAGTACTGTCCATTATATACTGACGTGTGTAAAATATGATTTATTTTATATTTTCACTGTCACTTCACAATATTATCCGCAACATTTCAAAATTAAATTAAAAAAATTTAAATTTATATTCACAGGGAATACATTAGTTTCCAGTTATTAAGATTGTTTTATTAGATTCCAGTTATTAAGATTGTTTTATTTTTAAAACGGTGTTTAGAAGTGTTGACGTTCTAAGCCGTTTCGACCTCTTTTCCTTTACGTGTGACATCAGTTTTTACTTGTCACCTTTTTTTTCTTCAACCACATGGATCAGTGGGTTGGTTGGTTTTTTTTTTTTGTTCTTTCTTGTGTGTGTGTTTCTGTGACTTCCTGCTTCACACATGTGATGTAAATATATTTGCCTCTTGATGCTGCGGCTGCTGCTGCCACCTGACATGGTCTTGTTACTGTAGATAGTGAAGGATTAGGCCTGATTTAAATGTATCTTTTGATCCTAGCAGGATTAAAAGAGGGATAAGTTCAATCTGGTCCAAACATTTTGCAGACAGACGGCCATATTGGAGAGGCAGGTGGGGAGACAGCAAGTGGTCATGGGTTGTTTTTTTTTTTCGACGTAGCTGTGATGCTTTAATAGGCTGTAAAGAAAATCATATGTTGTTTTACTAAACGCTCCGTCAACTGTGAAGTTTGATTAATGATTATATAAAGCCACATGGAAATTACAGCAAATCAGCAGTAATTCACATCACGGGTTATTAGTTTTACTAGTTTTCTTTTAGTATTTTATTTTTAAAAATATTCAAATATATAAATCATACCGGTTTATGTAAATGTTTTTTAAACGTACTGTTAGAGTGCTGCTAAACTAAGTTGTGTTAAATTTTAATGAATGCCTAAAAATGCTCAGGGTTCTGATTTCAGAGTATATTTTTATATATTTTTAGATGAAAACCTACTGTATACCAGTGGTTGCTCTTATATTCAGCTGTCCCTCCATGTATCACACACTTCTCTGCACAAGTCAACAAAAACCCACTTGTAGCTTTCTTTTTAAATTAAAGCTCTTTATAAAATGAAACTTTTAAAAAAAATTCTCAACCACAGAACAAGGATGTACTGTTTAAACTGTGGTGGTGGTGAAATCTGAAGCTCCAAATAAGACTGTGTGAAGTGTGAATTAGACATGAGATCAAGTGTGGAGTGAGGAAATGGAGGGAATTCAATACTCAGCGTTACATCAGCGCCATGATCAGATTAACAAACAGACCCATGTCTTTTTTTTTTGTCTTTTTCTTAGCTCGTCTCTCGTTGACCTTCTGTCTTGTTTCTTTCTGTCAGTTTGTCTGTCGGTCTGGTCGACCATCTGTCCATTCACTGTAACCAGAGATGATCTAAGTTCAACAGATCTGTTCCACCTGGTCACCTGCTCCGTACACAGAGCCGACTACTGACCGTAGTTGTACTGTTCTTAGCTGTCGACTGGTGTAAACAAACCAGTTTGGCCTCTGTGAAGCTAAAACCAAATTTATGGAAAAAATCTTAAAAGTTCTACATATGCCTAAATTTTAATTTGTGATCATCTGTTAATCTGTTAATGTATTTCATTAATGAATGAATAATTAATGAATTAATTTGTAACAACAAAGGAACATTATACTCACGTTAACTTATGTCAGTAGGTATTGCCTGTGTATATTTGTGTGTGTACTGTGATAGTACTGTACTGTACTGTGATTACGTGTGTGATAGAAATACAGAATGAAGGGGGGGTGGAGATATCGAGAGAGAGAGAGAGAGAGGCGACAGAGGGAAGGAGGGTGAGGGACAGTGAGAGAGGGAGCGAGCGAGGGAGAGAGATATTGATTGGTCATCTACTGTGACTCTGCAGCGTCTCTTCCTGGTGGTGCCTGGCTGTAGATGCTGATGCTGCTTCTGCAGTGTGTGTGTGTGTGTGTGTGTCCTTCATTAAGCTCCTCCCCCTCCTCTGACTCAGTTTTTCTCTGCCTATAGTTTATGATACAATAAAAGGAGGAGGAGGAATGGAAGACTGTAGAAGGAGGAGAACAGGAAGTGATGGAGTGTGTAGAAAGTAGAACCAGGAGAGGGAGTGGTCCAGCAGCCTGTGTGTGTGTGTGTGTGTGTGTGTGTGTGTGAGAGAGAGAGAGAGAGATAGAGGTCCACCCCTGCTGTGGGGAGAGGGGGTTGAGTCCAGGGAGACTGGTCAGGAGAGTGAAAGGTGGAGGAGTGGATGACCTGACGGAGTGTTTTGCCTCGTGGACTGACGGACTGACAGAAGAGGTGACCATCATGGCAGGTAGGAAGATGAGCTCCACCGTCAGCATCCCCTCACTGCACCATCAATATTTCAGCAGCCTCCAGTTTTCTCCCTGTCCTGTACACACACACACACACACTCACACACACGCTCACACACACACTTCCCAACTCCTGCACATTTATTTATCTGTATCTTCACTTTCTCCATGTTTTTTTTTGTCTGTTCATATCTTTGTTCCATCATGAACTGATAAACGACACGTACACCTCATGTAAATGATATGTGTGTGTGTGTGTGAGTCACACCTCATGTAAATGATGTGTATGTGTGAGTGTGTGTCAGTGTGAGAGACCTGCTGCATATTCTATAAACTCAACATCTGGGCAGAGCAATCATGCCCTCTGGTGGTAGTGTGGTTTTTGTCTAACTATTCTGTATTTAATTTTTCTTCTCATTATTCTCCTTTGAATGTACAACCTGATCTGAATTTTTTCCCCCAGTTTACAGTGTAGATTTCTGTCTGTGTTTCATGTGAAACCGTTCCTGTTCACGATGATGTTTGACTGACAGGAAACCTCTTCACTGTCCAACAGTTTCTCTAAATTCTCATTTAGCCCAGAGTTCTGACTTGCTGCAACAGTCCAACCACCTGAGCTTAACGGTCATGTTAATTGGATTTTTTTTTAATTAACAGTAACTGCGTCAGAAACCACTGTTAATGATGTTGATGCAAATGCAGAAACAGTTAAAATAAAATCTGTACCAGGCTCGATGGAGCTGAAGTCATGGGTGAAGACGACGTGACATTTGTCTGTGGTACTGTCCCCGGGACAGACGTGACCTTCTGTGACTGAATGTACAGAAAATGATTCTGTTTCTGTCTGTCGTTATTTATCTGGGTGGAATTCCTTAAACCAACCACAGTGAGTTTGATATTCACTTCTCTTTTATAAAGCATCTAAACATCTACCTGTGATTTAGATCCTCTGCAGCAGCTGCTTGTTGTTGGTGACAGTGATCATCAGACACTTTTTGGTACTTGTTCCCACTTCCTTATCTCCTTGTTCTTCTCTGTCACTCCACCGTCAGACAAGAAGAGTTCTCTCTCTTCTTATTATTCTTGTTTTCCTGCTTGTTTCCCACAGTTACTGTATTATATACTATACATGTCATTTATTTACTCTGTGAGGTTTTTTCCACAGTTACTGTATTATATACTGTACATGTCATTTATTTACTCTGTGAGGTTGTCCGTATCCTAAATTATATGTCCGTGTCCTTTAAAACAGAGTTTGTGAGTACAACTAATGAATAAACAAACAAAACAAAGTAAAAAAAAAGAAAAGAAATCAAGCACAACATTAAATTATTATTAATATCTAGTTGCGGGCCAGATTTGGATGTTTTGGTCTGATTGATTTTGATCAAAAGTCTGTCATCCTGATAGAATCATCAGATAAAACGAGGGATTTATCCAGTCACTCAGTCAGTCATTGTGCTGCTGCTCATGCCATGCAAATATTCCTACCTTCAAACCCAAAGCCTGATTTCCATGTAGCCTCGTCCTGTCTCATTTGACTGTGAGATATGATACAGTAACAGTAGCTCCCTGTGACCTCCGAGCTCGGCCTGCAGAGCCGAGGCGAACCACACGAAGCCGGGGTCTTTGGTGCATTCTTGGTCGAACGTGTAATTTCATGCATCTTGAAAGTAAATACTTGAGAACACTGCAGCTCAGAGCACTGAATGGTGTCCACGTGGTGACTGTGATATTAGCATCACAATACAGTATACAGGCACAGGCCAGGAATGTCAAGTGGCAGGTTTTCACTATAAGAGTTTGTTCAGTCATTTGCATTTATTATAAGTTGTGAATTAGATTTTTACATTTCTTTTTTAATGTTTGTGTTTTTCCTTCCACATCAACGTAAATATCTTGTGGACTTTGACAGCAAATCCTTTCCTCATACACAGTCAAATCTCTCATTCGTATGCTTCGCTGCCTTTAGTTGGATCATGTATGCAAACGATATGGTCAGGCAATAAAAGGTCCAAATGTTTCCTGAGTGATGGTTGGATCTCCACAGGGCATCTTTAAATGTTAATGCAGGGGAACGTAAACAAACCTTTGTTTGTTTCTCTCCCTCCCTCACACAGGTGAACCAAACATACTCCTGGTGTAGTTTTTCATCTTCCTCCTCCTCACTTTAAATTATTAATCCCAGGAAACTGGGCTGTATGTTTTTGTTTGCCCCAGAAATTTAAAACCAGTGGTGGACAGAGCAGCAACTGGTAACAGATACAACTGAAAACCTCTTGTTGTGTTTGAGCTCAAAGCAAGAATATTATGGTGTTTCTAATGTACATTTGATAGGACTGTACAAAATATGATCCTAAAATAGGAAAATATGAGTTGCCTCATATGTTTTGTTTTTTAGGTAATCACAGGCATCAGCTGTCTATTTTGTGTATTTTTCTTATGAAGCTTCACCACAAAACAGTCTTAAAATACTACAACCAGGAAAGATCGTTTTAAGATTCTGCTGATAAATCAAGTAAAATACTACAACCAGGAATCGTTTTAAGATTCTGCTGATAAATCACTGTTAAGTGCTAGTATTTTCTTATTAACATTTTCTTTCTGTCTCTGCTGACTTCCTGTCCAGATGACACGGTGTCAGCCAGCAGTAACATGGACATGGAGGACCGGGTGTTCCACCTGGAGCAGAGGCTGCAGCTGCAGGAGGACGAGATCCAGCTGCTCAAAGCAGCTCTGGCTGACGCCCTGCGCAGACTGGGCTACTGTGAGGAGCAAAGCCAGATGATGCAGCTAGGGGGCGTCCATGCTCCTGGGAGGAGGCCACTGGCCACTACAGCGTCTGCAGCACCAACTAAGGGTGAATGAGGAACACAGCAGTTGTCATTGTGAAATCTCAGACAAACTTCTTGTTTTTGTCTTTTGTTTTTGTGTGAGTTTTTATTGCTAACACAGTTTTGTTTTGTTGTATTTTAGTGCGTCAGCTGCTGCAGGCTCTTCCCTCTAAACCTTTAAATAACGGCTACCCTCAACAGAAACGCCTCCTGTCTTCCCCGTGTTCTCCAAAGAAAGAGGTGCTGCAGTCTATAAAGAGGTACATGGAAAAAAAAATCTGATTTTTTTAAAATTTCTGTTAAGTTTTATTGACACTCAGATTGACGACACAGCAAGTAAGGCTGATGCTCTGATCAGACGTATGTTGAAAAAGTATAAATGAATGTATCCAATACTAGCTCACCAGTGGTTTTACTTAAATTTTACCACTTTTGCTCTCAAAACATTAATTATAAAGGAAAGTAAATTCAGCTAAAAAGTAATCGCATTACTTTTATTTCTCTGATGTTTCTCCGTTCTTTAGGAAGAGTATGTCCACAGAGCGCCTCACCCTGATCAGTCGTAGCCGAACCACGTCCTCCAGCAGCTCTGGTGGTGGAAAAGGGTAATTAACCCGCCTCTGTAAAAAAGTCTGAACTCTTGTAGCAACAACAAAAACAAAACCCATCAAATTCTCACCCTCACCATTCCTGTCTGTGGTGAACACGTGTCATCGATCGTTGATCTGATGTTTCTTTATCTGTGACATGTCGTCATGCGCTTGCTAATGACGGACAGTGGTCTCTTCTCTTCTTCTTTCTACTCCTCTTCCTCAGTTCTTCACTGCACTGTAATCTTCTCCCTTTCTGCTGATGGGTCAGGTTTCCAGGCCTCCCTGGTAAAAGGGGGAGGGGTGTAGTTAGCAGTTAACAGAGGGGTTGATCTGCTGGACAGGAAGTGTGTTTTGATTGGACGGTGGGCGTTGTCAGGCTGGGCTAAAAGTTTGCTGCTGTGTGAAGAAGGAAGTTGCCGTGTGCTGTGTTACTGTGTTGCTGTGGCTGCAGAGACAGAAACCGCTCTGACAACTCTTTACCGTTCTTCACTGGTTCTTTATAACGGAAGCCTGCAAACATGAAGAGATCATCCAGGTAAAGAGCTGGTTTTCTGTAACCTCTGAGACACAGAGAGACAAAGTGTAGTTGATTTATGGCAGTGTTCTGAGAAGGGAAACTTTTTTTTTTATTTGTTTGCTTTTCTGAAAAAGTTGTGCAGCCGTTGCTTTATGATCCGTGGATGAGAACAGGCTTTGGTCGGAGCAGTTTTGTGTGTCACACCCTCGTCATCTCTGTTGACTCGTATTTCAATGGACTGGAGATCAAAGGATGAAGCACAGTGGGCTTTTCATGGTGGAGCCTCAGGCTTCTGTTCGTGGTTCATGTCTAGCTTCACAGGGAAGCTGAGGTGTTGTGTTAATTGTTGTCAAGCAGACAGTTTGGTGCACAAGGTTTCCCTGTTTGTATGGTCTGTGGGCGGACATGGGGGGAGGGGGGGGGGGTTGTTGCACAGTTACATAAATACAATAGAAAAGAGTGTCAGTGGAGATCAAATGACCGAGAAAAACACATGACAAAAGTCCTGAACATTTGTCTTAGATCAGTGAAACATGCAGTTATTGATCCATTGGAGTGATTTTTCTACAGTCAGTCTGTATGTGACGCACATTAAATGAATGTATTTGCCTTTGATGTCTCGTCAGTGATCACGTCTGGAACTAGTGAACTGCATCACAAACATGTCTGTATCTGTTTAAACAAAGACACAGAACCAGTCTGAATATGTAGCAACAAGGGATTGGACTGAAAAGAAGATTCTGTCATTATTTATTGAATGTACAACATGTACCACGAGAGAGAGGGAGAGGAAGAAAGAGAGAGAGAGAGAGAGAGAGACGGGTGATAAGTATTCATTATCTATCTTCTGTACCTGAACCCAAATCTGCAGAGATTGCACCACAGCGAGCGCCCCTGCAGTTACATTCTTGTCACTGCTGACAGGCTGCTGAAACAGGTAAAGGATCAATGATACGATTGGCCGTTCTGCCCACGGTGCAGAAACAAATTGATTTCACCTCCTGCTTTAAACAGAATCAACACAGACTGCAGTGAACACATTGACCTCACGTTAAATTCTGACATTTCTTATTGAGTAAATTTAATTAAAAATGTCGAGTTTTGATGTTAAGAGTAGGAAGAAAGCTGGAGTTTTTTGCCAATTTAAATATTTTTTTCGTTTAACATTTAAGACAAAAAAAGCATTTATTCAGAAGAAGGAAAAATGAGTGAGATGTATCAGTGGGAACAAAAAGCTGGACCAGTCCATTAAGTGGGCGACTGCAGTGCTACAGTCAGAATGGATTGTTTATGCGGTGGTGACCAGTCATTTCCACAGACCACATGATCCATCTGCCGGACCCTGCCCTTATCAACACGGTCGCAGACTCTGACTCTGTCTTTTCTGTGTTATTTGGCTTTTATTTATTGAAACATTTATGTTAAATGTTGGTGAGTTAAAAAAAGGAGAAGAAAAAAGACAGTAATTGGTGTTAGCGTCCATAGAAAAGACTGTTTTTGTAGGGAACCCATTGTATTCTACAGAATAGTCAGAAAACCTCCAACGAGGCCCCATGGCATTAAATGGCTGCCAAAGGCAT